TTTTTTTTTTTTTTTGTTTTTTTTTTTGGACTAAGATTTTAATTTTACCTTTATATTAGTGCCTCCTGGGATACCACTCTGTGGTTTGGTGTCATTGACAATTCTCGCAATGGCAACCTAGTTACCTTCTCATCCTAAAGGTGAACCTTTAGGTGAACCACAACATCTCGAGAATACTTTTGTTTTTTTCTCCTGTTTGTCTCCCATGCGGAGAATCTTTCTATGGACTTTTCAGAGAGGTGTAAAGTTGGATCAGTTAGTTGGATGGTCCTTCTGCAGTGCGTAACCAACTGACTACCTCCTTAGCCCACAATGATATCTTGCAATTTAGGCTTGGTGCTGTAAGCTTTGCTGAAGTCATAAGCATCTGCTGTCACGGTACAAATGGTAATTTGCCATCAAGAACTGGAAATCCCAGGACCCATCATTCTCTTAATGTTTACAGTCAGCTCAATTTGTAAGGGCAAGATTGGCCATCCAAGGTCACGATGTCATTTTTCCATGGGAAGTACATTGTTTTACTTCTTTAGCTACTGAAAGTGGTTCGATACCTTACCCATTAGGGGTAACATATTCAGAATCTATAATCGTTTTTTTTTTCTTTTGCATTCCAAACTTACCTGATAAAACAGAGGAAAGCTCACCGAGATTCATACCACTAAGATAGAGCTGCCTTTTAAAATAAAGCTTCACTGAACTTTAAAATCAGTGTTGTGTACATTTGCAAGTTTTTTTGCATGAAGAATGCCCCCACCAAGATACGGTGGCCATGATTCTGAGGAAGCAAACCTTTTGAAATTGCCCGAGCATTTGCAGTCAAAGTGAAATGGTAGCATAATCAGATGCAGTCCTGTATAACAAATGAATAATATTTGGCTCCTTTCTTTCTTTCTTTCGTTCTTTCTTTCTTTCTTTCTTTCTTTCTTTCTTTCTTTCTTTTTTAAATTTGCCCTCTACAAGTTGGAATCTTCTCAGACGTCCATCCTGTCAGGACATCAGACTAGCCTTGCACATAAGAACTATTTCTATGTTTTAAAATAACTACTCTTAACTATATGACATTGCTTTCCACTGTTCCACTCATTAGCTAAAAAGTAAATTGAGCCCCTGGTATCTACTGGGAGCTCAATTTCTGGACAGTAGCAATTTGGGGATCTTCCCCAAACTGGTTATGTCTTCCTCACCACTAGAGTCCCTTCCACTGCTTGCGTTTCTTCCTGTTTTAATCTCACTTTTAGTGAAGTGTGTATTTGCAATAAATGGCTCATGAATGAATTGCATCTCTATCTATCCTAAGATGTATTACAAAGGATTCCATATCACTTGTCTATAGTGATTCACTCATTCCTGTGACCTCTTCTTCTAGTAACCTCAATCTTTGTAATACAAAAGTTAACCTTCTGGGTTGATTTTGTTCAAGAGTCTTCAGTTTGGTTTGCCTCTTGGTTGATCTATTTTTCCCCACCGCTGAACCAGTTCCCATAATCACACACCTTTGCTTTTCATTTCCACAGATCAAGGGATCAACATTTACCGAAAACCACCCATCTACAAACAGCATGGTAAAACCCTCTTTCCTCCGCGTAGCTTTTAAGTAGTGGTATCAGCTGAACTCTCTGCTGTCTGTCCTCTGAAAGGCTTCCCTGCTGCTGCTTTTGAGAACCAAACTGGGGCACCCAGCGTGTTATGCCTTTATGGTTCCCTAACACGCAAATGTTGTGAGATTGGTTTTCCTGGATGGAGAACGCTTAGTTTGGTTAGGAAACTCCTAGGCAAATCTTTGAGCCCATGAAACCGTGTATCGCTGCATTCCTAAAGGAGGGAAGGTACTGCTCACACAATAATTCACAAATACCGTTTTTTTGTATGTGCCATCAAATAATGTAACCAGCCTCTATAGTAATTTTGTTGAGCTTCTAATTAGTTGAAGTAATTAAAATAGTGAAGGCCAGCAACCTAGAAAACTTAGCTGGACCAAGTCTACATTAACTTGACTGTCCAATTCCCCAGATGTCTGCACCTTGCAGTGGAATGGATAGGACACACCCAAGACCAAGGCCCTGGGCCCCAGCCCTTCCCCTCAATGGCTCTATGATATCATGGACACGATTTCTCTGCCCCTCAGTTTCCTTTTAGACAAAAACCAGTAAGTTAGGCCAGCCACTCTCTGAAATTCCTGCAAACGAAAATCCCTAATACGGATTTATAGCTGTGTTTTCCTTTTCTGGAAATAGAGAATTTTTAAACCCAGGAAATCATATTACCATAGGTAGATCACATTTCCCTCCACCATTATTAGGTCTCTATAGATTAGATGCCATAAATCTTTGTGAATGGATAGAAAGCCAAGACTGGTCTTCAGGTGACGTCAGAAAATTATACACATAACATGCCTGGAAAGTTGAAGGCTGCCATTAAAATCTAGTTGACATTAAGGAGTCCTTAAGGATCAGGATGACCTGAAAAGCAAACAAAGTTGAAAATGCACACAGGAAAAAATTGAGGCCAACATTCTAGGGGAAAAAAAAAAGATTGTACATATTGTAATGGTTCTACCACTGTGATTTTTTTCTTTTCTTTTTTTTTTAAGATTTTACACCGTGTGCTTGCTTTTTTAAGTTTGTTAACATTGTTTTTGTTTGTTTTTTTATGGTTTAATGTCTTCTCACCCACTCATTAACATGTGAATGTTTACTGACTTCACCAATTCTAATGCGTAAGTACTTACTGTTTGAAGTCATGCTTTTTTTTTTTCTAAATTTACAAATGAGACTCCAAGAGTTTGATTTATCAATGTAGAAACTGTTTTTATTACTAAAATCTCTAAGGCCCTGCCTCTCTAAACAAAAATAATCAAATGATTAAGATTTAAAGAGATTGGATAGGGTTGGCTTATTTATTTAAGAGATTGGCTTTTTTTTTTTAATGAAATGTACTCTGACTTGACTCTCAGTTTGTTGTAATTAAGAATAGCACAGCCAGAGTGGCAGTTCCCAAAGAACATTCTGCAAAAGAGCAGTTCCGTGTGATAGAAATAGAAGGTACATCAAACCTGGTGTCTGGGCCCCAGTGCATTTGGAAAATGCTAGATTTAAATACAGTCACTATTTTTTTTGTTTTGTAATGCAGAACATCTCAGTCCTTAATATGCTAACACATCTTTAAGAAGGTGATGTTGTAAGCAGTGTTTTCCCAGCTGAATTTTTTTATTTTTTCTCAAGAGGTTAGAGACTCAGAAGCGCTACCCCGTGCTTGGCCAACACTTCACCCCTTATGAGCATATAGGGTGACCGTGGTCAAGTCACTTAAGGAAAACGAGACCCAGAGGGTTACTAAAAGAATGGGGAATTTGAGCTAAGGGTTCAAAAAATCATTTCCAGATTTTAAAATGTGTGAGCCCAGAGAGGGGGGGGATAGTTTTTATTTAAAGCATTATAACTATATTTTAAATGTTTAGTAGCATCCCAGGCCAGTCTGCCAAATTAGCCAGAATCAGGGTCTGACCATTTAGCCTGGTTTGTTTTGTTGCAGCTCTGTGATTAGATTTGGAGTTCTAAGCCAGCGACAACTCTAAGCAGAGCCATTAAGAACCCTGTGAACTGAGGCCATTGTTAGTCTGGCTTTTGTTGTCTTGAAGTTGGAAGGCTCACTTAGGCGTGCAGACCCTTGAGGGAAATAAGGAGTGTTTTGCATACATGCATAAGTCAACATACGAAAGGCACAATGCTAAATTCCTACAAGGCACAATGCTAAACTCCTAGAAGCTAAGCACGGATTTTCCCATTGCCATTTCTCCTAGGACTCCAGACACATACATAATATGTAAAGAGTAGAATGAACTAGACAGATGATCGCTAAGATGAACAGATACAAATACACAAACGTACAAAGCCAGCCCTCTTATGGTTAACAACTACAGTCAATGGACGGCGTCATGCTTTTAACTTAGCTCTTTAATTTCAAACTACTAATTCAAATTTCTGATTGCTCTAGAAGAGTATCATCTGATGGAACTTTCTGTGATGACAGAAATGTTTGTTCTACGATGGTGCTTCCAATATGGTGGCCACTCATTGCACGTGGCTATTGAGCGCTTAAAATGTAGCTCGTGCAACTGAGGAACTGGATTTTAATTTTATTCATTTTCTGGTTTCATTTAATTTTATTAATTGAAGTAGCCATGCGTAGCTAGAGCTAGTATCGGATGGCCCAGCTCTACAATAAGGTATTTCAGATGTAGAATGAAATTTTGCATCCAACAGAACATAAGGAAAATCACTTGTCACTAGGTGCCACTGAGTGACTGGGCAATTGCTAAGAGCCATAAGCAGCTTTCTGGAGTCGAAACTTTTGCCAGAAAACAAGACAACTATGGAAGTGGGTTGTACCACCACGACCTTGCAGACTGATAGCTAAGCTCCCCCCCTCCCCCCCCCATTCCCGCCTAGATGCAGCTGCCTTAGCAGCCCAGAGCAAGTCTTCAGAAGACATCATCAAGTTTTCCAAGTTCCCAGCAGCCCAAGCTCCAGATCCCAGCGAGATACCAAAGATTGAGACGGATCACTGGCCTGGGCCCCCCTCACTTGCCGCCGTAGGTATGCAACTGCTGTGGCTAAGCCAAAATGGACAAATTGGTAGGAGATCACAAAACGAAATGCTTAAAACTATGCAAGAAAATGTGTCCTATCGTAAAGACATTTAGGAAAAGTATGACCAGAGCATTTGGGTGCCAAATGCTTCACAATTACAAAAACCCAATCACGAGAGCCTTGCACTCACCAACCTGCTGAGAGACAGCCAGAACTGGTCTAAAACAGATGATCTGCCGGGACTCTCAGAGTTCCTGCAGAGTCAGTAACTTTTGAACTAGTTGAACCAAAGCCTCCCGCCAAGAACACCGTTTATAAGTAGAGTCTAGTGGGTGACTTTACCAAGTGTCCACAGAGGTGTGACTTCTTTCAGTGACATTTGTTTTAGGTTATTTCTGGGTTGAAGTTACAATTCTCTTAACAGCCAGTCCTAACACTGAAGCACTTCTGCCTTACTCATGAGATCACGTTCTCCTTTACTAAGAAAGGCTGTCACCGAGTAGTAGGTGTTCTGGAATAACCACTCGTATGAAGTTGTGTGATTTTCCATCTCATTTCCATGAATTCTGTGCTAAAATGTCACGTTCGAGCTGTTTCATTCTTTGCTTTGAACCACAAATTTATGCTTTAGAACCGTGTCTGTGTCTTTCCTGTTTTGCAAGTTGTGAAATCACTTGGCCTAAAAAGGGGTATTTAGCAAACACAGAAGCTAATACTGAAGATTTAGTGAGTCAGTTTCGCAAAGATAGAACTATCTTCTCACATGTCTGTTGACAACCTTTTTTAAAAGGCCTTCAATGTTCCAAATTTTCTTCATCGTGCTTTTTCTCATCAAGCCATTTTCCGGAATAATTTTTACAAACAGTACAAGTGGACTTTAAAGCAATCTATATTTACAGAAATACTTGAGGGAAAATTTCCCTCCTTAGTTCATTATTCCCAAGTACTCTGTATATTATGCTGACTTAAGATTTATTTAATTCTTGCAAACTTGTGTCTTTTCATTTTTATTAGCATAGATTAAAGAGAGTAAATTCACATTGACATTTATGATTTTAGGAACTAAGAATCAATCAATCCTCAGCTTTTCCCTGCCAGTTTGTGCCCTGCGGGCACTTCTTGTGGCCTTTGAGGTTCGGTTCAGTCATGTTGCTTTGTGGGGACACATACAGCTAAATTTGGGGCAGAGGAAGAAGAATGTTTTGTGATTAAAATCATCACCACTAAATAGTTTCTGGGTTCCAAAGTGAAGCAAATTTCTGGCCCATTCATCAAAAGGATAAAAACTGAGACTATAGGTTAAAGTTTATTTTGATTAGATTAGCAAGCTTGCCTGTTTCCTCCCACAGCCAGATTAATCCAAGCAATTTAGGAAAAACAATAACTATCTTAATTTTACAACCATTCGGACAGATTCCTCCCTTTCACTCCCTGTCTCCCCTTTTCCAAGAAGCTTAAAAATTGTAAGTGATTTGCTAGATTGGGATGAAATAAGTAACTTTTGAGCTGTATTAATGCTATTTTATTGACCTATTAGCATGAAACTCTCTCGTGACCATTTTTGCCAAGGATTGAGGGAAGGAAAACATTGGAGACTCATCCCTTAAAAGGAAAATGAAAGGATGCTTTTTAGTGAATTTAAGGGCAGAGGGAGGGTGATTGTATGACAAGTCTGTTCAGAAAAAGAGAACACGAGAGAGTGACGATCTTACCTATTGGGCGGTATGTACGTGACCTTGGGTTCCCCTCTTTGAAACTTGACCTCCGAGAGATCCAAATAATAACTCTAGATGCCTTCCCACCTATGACAGAGGGCTGCGGCCAGTGGCTGATGGGATGACTGAGCCCCAGCCGTAAGGGCACGCCAAGTTCTAACTGAGCGGGTCAGTTGTCGGGAGGCCAAAGGTCATGCCTTACCAGATCACGCGTTGAGCTGGCCTGTCAAAGGAGGCCCCCGTCGCGAGAAACCCACCCGCAGGGCTCAGTCGGCGGTGGGCCCTCTTTTCCTTGTGTTGTTCGTGAACGTTAAAGACTGCTGCCGGTTTTGCCATCGGGACAAGTTGAGCGCAGGTGGACTAGTGCCTTAAGATCCCCTTGCCATGGGGCTCATGTGAGAAGTTGTCTTTGCTGTGGAATTAGGAGCCGACATGAGACGCAGACCTAGTGGCAGAGAGGAAGATGACGAGGAGCTTCTGAGGCGCCGGCAGCTGCAGGAAGAGCAACTGATGAAGGTTTGTCCTTAAGCTACTTTGCTGCAAAGTCTCCAATTCAGTTCCATAGACCCGGAAGTTTCAGTGAATGCGATGGGTGAGCCACCAAGGGAGTGAGAGGTGGTCCCGGCCCTCAAAGGGCCCGAAATCCGGTAGGCGACCGAAGACGGGCCTCAGGTGACTATAAGACAGGGTACTTAGTGGGTTCCGGAAGAGATGGCCTGGAAGCTGGAGGTCAGGGGGACGTGGAATGTTCGAGCTTCTGTGAGGAGAGCGTGACCGCGTGGGGCGTGTGTGTGCAGTGCACGCGTTGAAAGGGTGCCGAAGGGCCGGGTGGAGCCACGCTGTCACCCATGCGGTGCAACACCTGCCTTCCTTCCCCCAGGGCAGCTTCTGCCGAAGGAATTCCCTTGGGACTGAGTATTTGTCCAAGTCTTTCCTCGGGACTTGTAGGACCTAATATGTTGATGTGGGCCAGGAGGGAAGGGACAAAATGGACTGCCACCAAGAAACCCGCATTATACCCCTCCCACAACATCCCAGAAGACCAAAAGAAGGATAGTCCATTATAGCCTGGGGTAGAGGGAGCCGGGAAATTATATACCCTCCCGCCAATAAGAAACTAATGAATCCGCTCCAATGACATTTTCCAAAGATACTTAAGCGTATGGGAAACGCACAAGATACTAGTTGTATGGAGGGAAAGGATACAAAGTTGCACTCATAGCATGAGCCCAGTTTTGTATAATATGCGCATGGAAAAATACAGGATGGATAGAAATCAAAATGTAAATGGTGGTTATCTCTGAGTGGTGGACTATGGGCTACTCTTCTCTCCTTCTAGATTTTCTAAAGTCTGTGCAACGAGCATACATTACTTGTGTTTTCTTGTTTTTAAACAAATCAGCGTAATTTCTTTTTTTAAAGATACTCTCCCCAAACTCCCCTCTGTGCTTCAAAAATCGGCATACGCACATGCCTTCTGAGGTCACCTCAGGGCACGCTGGGCAGGGCGGAGGAGAGAGAACATTCTTCTGACATGGCCTAGGGGAATGGTATCTTGACATTAAAAAAGGCTAAGAGGGGTTCAAGGTTCAAAACCTGGCCTACCCGCTGGGGAACCACCGGCCTCTGGGTGGTTCACTCTAGAGTCAGAAACTTCTTGCAGGATCTTCTCAAACAGAAACTGCCATCTGTGACCATAATTGTGGACTCCTCTTTTATGTGTCTTTTCTCTGTGAATAGCTCAACTCAGGCCTGGGGCAGTTGATACTGAAAGAGGAGATGGAGAAGGAGAGCCGGGAGAGGTCTTCCTTGTCAGCCAGTCGCTACGATTCTCCCATCAATTCAGGTGAGCAGCGGACCCACTGCCTTCTCCCAGCGGGAGCCAGCCCCCTGCCTGCAGGGAGCCTGCCTGGCCTGTTCCAGGAGAGGCAGGGACACTTCTGGTGTGTTCTCTGTGAAAGGAAGTACAGGAAACCCACTGCGTGTCAGCTTAGCTTTACGAGGATGCCGTAGTTCTTCCTTAAATGTGTATCTTCTTCATGACGGAAGGGGGGGGGCCTGGGAGGATTTTCTGAGGGTCTGTTCAGAATACTCATCTTAGAGGGAATCCATGAAAGGAAATCCTTACAGAGAACAGATGCTTTTGGAGCATTTAGAGACACGGGTGTATCATGTATATCTGCAATGTGTGGAATACACACACACACACACACACACACACACACACATACACACACACACACACAATTAGAAGTAAACATAAAGGAAAAGCTCAATCACTGAGAGGTCTAGATCAGGCAGGGAAGGAAGAAGGTACATAATCAGGATCTTCTGTCTTTCTGGGTTTTATGCCCCCTGCTGGGAGAGGAGGACATCCACATACACAGAAGTAGCCACTGATACTCTCTTACCCCAGGAAGGGTCTCAGACTTTCTAAACCCATGTACTTCCAACTCCTCTTACCTTACTTCCGTTAGAGAAGAACTATGATTTTTGGCTCAAGGGAACTTGATTTTGCAAGAGACTTCTTAACATTTGATGAAATTGATTCATCCTTTTAACCTGGAACACTGTATGACAATGTGAATCAAGCCCTTATAGTTCATTTCATTTTGACTATTCTTTAAAAAAAAAAGAGAAAGGCAGGGCACCTGGATGGCTCAGTTGGTTAAGCATCCAACTTCGGCTCAGGTCATGATCTCCCAGTTCCTAAGTTCAAGCCCGGCATCGGGCTCTCTGCTATCAGCACAGAGCCCAGTTTGGATCCTCTGTCCCCCTCTCTCTGTCTCTCTACAGCTTGTTCTGTTTCTCTCTCTGTCAAAATAAACAAACTTTGAAAAAAAAGAAAGGGAGGGAGAGAATAGAATGCTTTTTGATTATAGAGACCTGGAACAACATTTTGAAAACATTGTGATTTTACATTCAGATATTCACTGAAAGAGCTGAAAACAAGCAGAGTTGTTTTTGATACTTTTGAAGGAGATTACTTACACACTGGGCTGAAATAGTTGATCAGTATACGTCCCCCTGCTTATATTTGTCGTAAGTCAGTGCCCTCCTAACCCACAATATTTCTTCTCCCGTGTTCTCAACTAGTGTGTACTTGTCCCTCTTAAAGCCTCTTTAACAGTATGTTTAATGTGCACTACATTCAAGCCCTTGTGTTCAACATTATTTCATTTATTCTCACAACATGCCATTGAAGTCGATGATGTTATTATTGTCATCCCCATTTCATAGATCAGAAGACGGGAGCAGGAAATTTAAGTAACTTACCCAATGTCACATTATTAGTAACTAGCAAAACTAGGATTCAGGAGTCCAAGTGTTATAACCCCAGAGTGCACGGGAATGCCCGGCTGCCTCTCCGAGATGCCTCACTGGCATCCATCTTGCACTGAGTGGTTTACTAATCTTCAGAGCTCCGTCTAACTCTATAGCCCTGTTCTATAAGAATATATAGCACTATATCTACATGAGTCAAGAAACAAAGACTAACAGAGATGAAATCCCCAGAGGTGCCAAGTTGCAGAGTCAGAACTCAAACCCAGGTCTGCTCCCCTGAAGGCCCCATAGTTGATGTAGTGCGAGGCTGTTGATTAATGGGATATTAATGGGGAGACTCCATGAATGGGGTGGCTTATCCCACGCCTCTCCTGGTGGGCCAGGAGAGCATGACATTTACACGGTTGGCTTTCAGGTCACTTATTGCTGCCAGACCAATGGGGCATGAACGTATGCATCCAGGTAGCCCTGGGTTCAGATCATCGCTTCGCGGTTTATAAGATGCGTGACCTTGGGCAAGATACTTAACTTCTCTTAGCCCCTATTTCTCCTATGAAATGGAAATAATGATGGTATCATTAGGTTGTATTGAGGATTCAGAGATAAAGCAGCATCAGGGAACTCTTTCCTTCTCCATCCATTCCCTGCATGACCCAAATGTGGTGGCCTTTCAGGAACATTAGAGCCCAACATTATCTGGGTTATTTTTTTCCATTTTCCTATGGATCTTCTTTTCTGTAAGGTAGAAGATAAATCGTCAGTTTCGTTACAGAACTGGACTTCTGGGGGCACCTGGCTGGCTGAGTCGGTACAGCATGCGACTCTTGATCTTGGGGTCGTGAGTTCAAGCCCCACATTAGGGATAGAGTTTACTTTTAAAAGAAAGAAGCTTTTAAGAATTGGACTTCTGATTTCCTCTTTTTTTTTTTTCTTTTTTTACCTTTTCTCATTCAGCTTCACATGCTCTATCATCTAAAACCTCATCTCTCCCAGGCTATGGAAAAAACGGGCTTCACCGGGTAAGATTTGTCAATGAATTGTTCCTGAGTTTATTCCTTCTTCAGACCTGGTACGAAGTGCTGACATACTGTCTGAGTATGTCTGATAATATGATCTCAGTCCTAGGATATGAAGAAAATTATAATCTCTGATATCGTGGCAAATCACTCTGAGTTACAGGCAGAATAAAATAGTTCTAGTGAGAGAAAGAGAAATTGACTGTAGATGGAAAAATAACCTCTATAAGTTCGTGGGAAGACTACATTAATTGATCGTGTGGCAAATATTTCAAGCTAAAAGTAGTAACTTGAGCCCTTGTCTCTGCTGTGAAAAGATACAGGAAAGTTCCTTGCAATCGCCCTCCCCCCAAAGCATAGGACAAATGTAATTGCGTAGCTGTGTGAAGAAACGTATTTTTATTTATTAGCAAAAGATAACCTGCTTATCCAGGTCCTGCTGCCATCAGAGGCATCACGATAAGACAAAGAGATTCCATAATAGTAGAAGAAAAATAACAAGGGCCCAGGAATTCAGTTTGGGAAGAGCTCTTAGGATTTTGTAAATCCTTTCTTTCTTTTCGCCTGGCTCTAAAACCGTCATGGTGGAGTGGATTTTCTAACGATGTGTTATTCTTCCTCATCTCAGCCTGTTTCCACAGACTTTGCTCAGTACAACAGCTATGGGGACGTCAGCGGCGGAGTCCGAGGTAAGGCCATCGCGGTCACACTGCTGACTGACTGGCTGTGCAGTCACAAATACATGGTCTCTGTTCGTGCAGTCTGCCCTCCGAAAGTCGGATCGCAGCTAGCCTGTGGGAGCTCACGGAGCATGTATTAAAATCGCAAAGTGTCACCCCTGAAATGAGACCAGAGAAGCAGAGTTTGTAAGAATGAATTCATTGCTCCTGCCATGTGCCGAGCACTCCACCACATAGATCTCTGGAGTTACGGCACACTCTAAGCAAGACACGGCCCTCCTGTCAAAAATGCACATGAGGGGTGCCTGGGTGGCTCAGTCGGTTGAGCGTCCGACTCCGGCTCAGGTCATGATCTCACAGTTCACTAGTTCGAGCCCCGCGTCGGGCTCTGTGCTGACGGTTCGGAGCCTGGAGCCTGCTTCAGATTCTGTGTCTCCCTCTCTCTCTGCCCCTTCCCTGCTCACGCTCTGCCTCTCTCTCTCTCTCTCTCTCTCTCTCTCTCTCTCTCTCTTTCAAAACTAAATAAACATTAAAAAAAAATGCACATGAGTGGGGCACCTGGGTGGCTCAGTCGGTTGAGTGTCTGACTTCAGCCCAAGGTCATGATCCCGCACTTTGTGGGTTTGAGTCCCGCGTCAGGCTCTGTGCTGACAGCTCAGAGCCTGGAGCCTGCTTCCGATTCTGTGTCTCCCTCTTTCTATCCCCCTCCCCCACTCTGTCTATCTCCGAAAAATAAATCAACATTAAAAAAAATTATTAAAAAAAAAATGCACATGACTGAGTGAGACACAGGGACAGGTTGAGGTGACGAGAGAAGCTTCCAGAGATACATGCTGTAAGCAGAGAAGGCGGAAATACCTTCAGGGTGTCGGGGAAAGCCTCAGTGAAAAAAAGGGTGTTTTAACTGATAACTGAAACAGGAGTAGCATCTCCTAGCTTCAGGGAGACAGCGTTTCCAGAGACCCCAGCAGAGAGAAGAACACGGTGCCTTGTAGAATGTCTGCGGAATTGCAGTAGAATATTGTATATTAACGTGTCGTGTTTTTCTCTGATCTTTCTCTCCTGAAATGTTCTTTTTCTTTCCTTTCTAGACTACCAGGTATGGAACGGTGTCTTTCTCAAGTTGTTGACCACGCCAGCAAAACCGCCATTTACCAGTCCAGACTCGTGTGGCGGCTCGAGGGAAGGGTTTCTGTCGAGAAGATTCTTAACTTGGGTTGATTGGTCTGATTCATTAGCCCGGAGATATGAGGAGCCGTAAGGATCAGGAATGCCCGATGCCCACGTCAAGCTGGCCCCGCAGGCCTTGGGGACGTGGCATGAACCAGGCCAGGTGTCCGAGGACTCTTGCTCTGGCCTCAGAGCATCCTCTCTGTGGCAGAAGTGGACCAACATCAAGGGTCTGCCCACATACAGTTTTCCCTTTCAGTTTTAACCACTCCGAGCTTTGGGTCCTCCCCTCCTTCCCATGGTCCCAAATGAAAAGAAATTCCTGTCCTGTCTGGTACCATTTCTTTTTTCCTAGACCCTAGCCTTATAAAATCATGATGGAGGATGGGGGCGGGGCGGGGGGGGGGGGGATACAAAGAAAACTCAGAGTAAAGTAAGAAAATAATCACAGACTTGGAAATTTTTTAATATACTGTATACTTTCGTGTGTGGAGCCTAAATTAGGAATTAATAGTTGTTGTTTTTAAAGTTTATTTCCTTATTTGGAAAGAGAGAGCATGAGCAGGGGAGGGGTGGAGAGGGAGAAGGAGAGAATCCCAAACAAGCTCCGCATTGTCAGTGCAGAGCTGGACCTGGGACTTGATCTCAAGAACCAGGAGATCATGACCTGAGCCGAAATCAAGAGTCGGATGCTTAGCCGACTGAACCACCCAGGGGCCCCTCAATAGTTATTAAGCCAGGGTCTTTCCCCACTTAATGACAGAAGAACAGTATTCCCAGTATCCCTGCTCTTATGCAGAAAGGATTTCATTTTTGAAATATTTATGGTGATCACAATGGCACATCTGTAAAACAGGATTTGAGACAGAAACCGGGAGTTTGGGGAGGCCACACGGTTCCCCCCTCAGCTCCCCACGCTGTCATGTGCTCCTTAAAGCGGCTTTTCTGTTGCAGACTCTCCCAGATGGCCACATGTCCGGGACAAGAATGGACCGGGGGGTGTCCATGCCCAACATGTTGGAACCAAAGGCAAGTGTAGCCATTCTCCCGGCTCTCATATGGGAATAGCACACCGGGCCATCACCCTGAAGAGAGTTGGTTTTCTGCCGTTCCATCACACTCAGTGTTGAGGTCCACTTGCTTCCAGGCTGATACATCACACAAGCCACATCACAGAGTACCCTGACTCTCCACTGGTTTTGTCACACTGAGTCAACAGGTTTAAGCCCTCACTGGGTGCGGTATGATGCATCCACAGTGAAATACAGCACACCTCTCCTACGAGCTCTGTACTTGGCCCCTGGTACGAGCACTGCGAGGCACGCCCAGTGCAAAGTGGGGCACCCACAGACCGCCCCAGATGGGGTGACCAACACTTCCCGCTTGCCCAGGACTCTCCCAGCGTGAGCCCTGAAAGTCTGGCATTCCAGGAACCTCCTCCGTGCCGAGCAAACTGGGATGAATGGTTACCCTAGCTCCAGACCATCCTGAAACTCCAGAGGTGCCCAAGGCTATGCTCCCCGGTGACCATAACTGGGACTTATCTCAGTGTCCTCCACCAGAGGGCTTCTGGGCCTGCCTGGCTGCATGGAATCATGAGCCGGTCATGGAACAAGACCGTTGAACCCTGCAAGGGTACCCTGTCATATAAACCACATTCCTATCATTTCACTTCTAATTTTTCCCTTTACCCCCAAGACATAATAGGTTTGTATTCTTTCACTCTACAAAGCCCTCCAAAGGCACAGGGTCACATGAGACATGGTGAGTTGAGAACGTATGAGAACTGGTCCCTGTCCATTGGATATTTGAGGAACACCCATCATTCAGATTCTATAATTACAATGTCTTAGAAGCTCTATCTTGGGAGTGCTAGATTTTAGGTAGATTCTGCTTGTTAATAAAATGGACAACGGTGTTCTAGAAGAGGTATTTTTCTTTGCTTCTCAGATATTTCCATATGAAATGCTGATGGTGACCAACAGAGGGCGCAACAAAATCCTAAGAGACGTGGACAGAACCAGGCTGGAGGTAAACTAACTAACTAACTAACTAAATACATAAATAACTAGTCCCAACTGCAGATACCTGTGCACTTCCCCCAACTTTCCCCAGGCAAAAAAAAAAAAAAAGAGAAAGAAAAGAATCAACCTCATATGTTAGGTAGAACTACGATAACTTGGGATGAAAACCCAAATATACACTTAAGAGATCAGCCTAAATGTGTGGTGAAACCCCAAAGATGACCCAGGAGGCACAGTATGATTTTAGTCGTTTTCTGTGGAAACGATGTCGTCATCATGATGGCCGGGGTTGTAGAGAAGAATCCATCCTTCTTCAGATACCCTAGAGACTGACCTTTCCCTGAGCCTGGGTCCAACTCGTCGCGAGAGGGAAGGGAGTGCTGGACGAAGAGTATCTCTCTTGGCTGTTCCCACATTCCTTGTTGAAGGGTTCTCTGGGTGCACACACCCGAGACCTCCTTAGACATGGAATGCTGATCCTTCTACTTTTCCACCTGAGTGGTTTTAATTAAGAAAAACTCTGGCTGCCAGTCTTAAAAAGAATCATTACTTCTCCCTGACAAAAGGCAGTACCTGTGTATGTGAAGTCAGTCTGGCACAGAGAATAAAGGCTCTACTATCCTGAGGGAACTTTTTAGGAGAGACAACAGATGGAGTCTGTCCTCCTCACAGACCAGGCATCCACCAAAACTCCTGCCGCTGAGCCAGGAGGGAGCCCCTGGGCTCCCCGGAGACCATTCTGGAAGTCTCTCTCTGGCTTTCTTATTACTATGGTCCATGTTCCCTGCATCTCCTCAACATCCCAGCGACCTGAAATGGAGTTGCCTCTAGGGTGATGGGCCACCTTCCTATGTCCCATCACCATTACGTATATTCAATAACCATCAATACTCTATGAGCTCTTTTGTCTCCTGGCGAGGGTGCCTCCCCTGGGCCAACCAGGTAAGGATCCAGTGAGGCCAGGGCCTGCTAACAAGCTCAAGAAGTAAACTCCTCTGCCATCATTCTGTCTTGCTCTTCACAATGATCCCCTGTAGACTTGAGAGCAACTCTCAAGGCTCAAGGCCATTCGAGTGGCCACCGGAACTTAACCACTGATCTTTTCTCCCGTCACAGCGCCACTTAGCCCCAGAAGTGTTTCGGGAAATCTTTGGAATGTCCATACAGGAATTTGACAAGTTACCTCTTTGGAGACGCAACGACATGAAGAAGAAAGCGAGACTCTTCTAGGCCTCCCCCACCCCCTGCCCGCCCCCGCCCCGCGTAGACAGCAGGTAGAAAAAGGACTGACGTGGCGGTGACACATAAGATGTTGTGTTAAGGCCCAAACTTGATTGGAGAACTTTCAAGCTACTGTCCCTCAGCAACGACGAAAGGGGAAACCTGGTGAAAACACCCACGAGCCACACTTCGGACCCACCACCGGCAACACTTGCCAAGAAGCAACAGGATAGAAATTTCTGTGTTCCCCACACCCGTGACCTTTTTCCATCACCTTATGTACGCAACAGTTCCTATAACTGTTGTCTCACAATAGTGCTGACCGTATGGGTAAGAGCCAGCAAGTGCCCTTAGGACGCCGCATGGAAAAAAAGCAGCTGTAGTAATTCCGAGGTAGGAATATATTTATTATGTAGCACTGTGGCTAAGAAGGAAGAGCCTGAGGGACATATCCATGCGGGCACACCACCTTGCGCACCCCTGTCCTCACTGGCCTCGCGAAGCCCGACCTGCGCCCCCCAGCAGGATGGAGATCAGCGTCGGGGCACCGGGCAAGCTCTGCTCCGAGGGGGCTGAATAGCCGCCAGAGTCATTTTTAACACGCTCCTTTTTCTCTACTGTTTGCTAGGACCTGGTTGGCAAATTACTTCGCTATTATTTAAAAACAAAAAAAAATTTTTTTTAAGAGAAAGAGAGGGAAATGGAATGAAAGGAGTATCTCCCTTCATTCTTTTCCTGCTTCAGACTGTGTGCTTCATTCAGCCTCCCCACCACGGACAGCAGCTGTCCCCCGTCCCCACTGCCCAGAAAGGAAAGGGAGAGGTTCTCTCCGGTTGTGTGCTGTTAGATGACTTTTGCCCAAGGGGGCCGCGGCACTCTTGGCAAAAAGAAAAAAAAACAAAAAAAAAAAAACAACAAATTAATGTGTCCCGCCCACGCTAGTCCTTCTTCCACCCAGCATCCTCTGAATCCCATCAAGCCCCCCGGCATTTTGGGGGGGGGGGGCGGTTTGAGGTCTTTTCAGTAGTCGGCTAAGGAAAGGGCACGCTTTTCTCTCTGCAGTCTCTGCAACTCCAGGGTACATTGCTTCAGACTGATTTAATTTGGCCTTTTCAGCTTTCCTTTGCCTAGCTCTGTTGACTTCATGGTGTGTGTGTGTGTGTATGTGTGTGTGTGTGTGTGTGTGCGTGTGCGTGTGCGTACGTGGACGCACCCAGGGTAGTTTGGGGAGTCTGCGTGTACTTTTACATCTCATTTCTGCTTGAGCGTTTGTCCGGCCGGGCGGCAGCTTTTCTAAGGAACATTTGCACACGTGCGCCTGACTCAAAGGGCGAGAGTGAGGCTACACCGCACCCAACAAGGCATCCTTCGTGGAAGGGTGTTGGTGTCAGAAGCCAGCATCCTCCGTGATTGATGGAGCTCAGGTCAGCAGCACGCCGAGGAGGAAACAGACCTCCGATCGGGCTGTGTGTGGAGCTCGGAGCATCGCACCAGAGTTCACCAATTTGGCAACACGAGATTTAAAGCGGGGCCTAGGATTTCACCAAAACGCGCGTGTAAGACCGCATCACGGTTCCCGGCAGCTTCCGGCCGTGGCTCAAATGACCTGTGAGTCGGATGAGGGAGGGTCTCTCCAGCTCCACACACGGGAGGCTTTCACATGTATTCGTGTGCACTGGGGGCTCTGCCTAGGAATTGAAACTCTGTTTTAAAGCCAAAGGAGAAATCATGCGAATTCTCTTCCTATGCCTCTGATAATAAAGGCTCAGAAGTTCTTCCTGCTGGCACCAAGTATTTGAACTAGTTGCTAACTGACTCCAGTGGTAAAAAGCAAGGAAACTTGTTCCAGGACCTGTACTGCGAACCTCTAACTTGTGACGCACTCCATCACCCGGGTGCTGTGCTGAGCTCTGGGCCTGCTCAGTAGCACTGTCCTGCACCCTCGCCAAGGGGATCGAAAGCCGCCTGTCCTTTCAGTGCTAGACACTGAATGTTTGAGGACTGTTCTCACAAATAGGAGTGTGTGTGTGTGTGTGTGTGTGTGTGTGTGTGCGCACGCACGCGCATTGGACCTACTAACGCGTTTTGCAAGTGGCTCTGATGGAGTGGACGAAAGAAGACCGGCTCCTCCTGGGTCTGAAGCCTCCGGACCGCAGCTCGCAGTTTAGTGCCTCTTGCCTCGTTCAGTATTTCTGCCGCCCCGACTTCCCTCCGACCTCTCCTGCACCTGCCGCCTGAGGCCCGCGTATCCTAGTCCTTGCTTTGCCCTGGCCCAGTGGGAGGAGTGGGGACCAGAGGGTATTCCCAGTAATCAGTCACAAGCATGGCCAAATGGGTGCCCATGCTAGGCTGGTGGAGAGAAGTTTTTCATTACGGGGATAAGAAAGGGCCCTCCATGTTTTCATTGGTTAATGAATTATGACCCATGTGCACATAGATCAAATGTCAGTGGGAGAAGAATTGCAGTGGTAGTTAAAGATCCGAACCAAAACCTCCCACCAATGAAACTCTACTTCTGTTGTATCTTTTGAATTCAATTCTGCATCCAACTTGGGGATCGGGGGTGGGAAGCTTCTTTCCGTATTGAGCGTACTAGCTCATTTAAACTGCACCATGCAAAAATGCATTACCAGAAAACGTCAGTAGCCTCCCGTCTGCGGGCAGAGCAGCACTGTGCTCTGGGGAGGGGTTGTAGACAACCATATCGTGGAGCGGGTTCCCCGACTCCACTCCCGGCAGAAGACTCCAGCTGGAGGGATGGGCCGTGGGGCAACCTGGTTCTCTTAACTGCCAAATCTATTCTATAGGCTACAATGGCCTCTCCGTTTTTTTAAAAACCGGGCTCAGCATGCCTGTCCTCGGCACGTCCGGGCCACCGTGCAGGACATCCGCGTTCTCTGCTTGAACCCCACTCTGCACTGCACATAAAAATTCCACTTGTTAACGCAGCCAAAGGAACAGAGATTGTTCCCTCTAGGGAAGGACTCCCACAGCTGGCAAACTTTCCTGGCACGTACCCCAAGGGCTCCATTTTTGAGGGTTGGGCCTACTTGCAATTCCTTAAGCACACACCGATTGCATGAAGCAAAAGAAGCCTCTGGCAACATGAAAGTCAGTGCTTCCTTTCCGGTTTCTCCCAGGAGAGCCAGGATACCATTTAGTCTTCCTGTGTGGTGTAAGAGGAGACGTGAAGATCATTTGGGAACTTGTACAGCCCGCTGTGCACCCACATTTTGGTTTGGGTTAGTTAGGAAATGTTCTTCATGTGACTCGTTCAATAACTAGCAGTAAACTGCCTGTTCTGTGCAACCTCACGCAGAAGAGCCAGAGTTCATGGGCACTGTGGCCCGCACTCCCCGTGCAGCTCACGTTCTCAGTCTGGTTGTGCCCGTCAACCCTACCTAGAGAAGTCTTGCTGGAAATGTTTATAAAACTTTCACCTAATTTCTTTACACTTGAAAGCAAACACCTTTTTCTAAAGAATTGCTTCTCAGATGATTATATCAAATATATACGCTTTTGCAAGTTAAAAAAAAAAATTCAAATTCACTACTTTTGACTAGGTAGGTCTTTCTAAAAATTCTTTCAAAAAGCTTGGTGTTAGCGTCCTGCGCGTCGAAGGGGCAGGTGAGCCCTCTCTCTGTCAGGAAAGATGGTGGAAGGAAAGGAACTCCGTGTCGTCCCCCCTTCTGTGTCCTCTGAGGCAAGCTCGATTTTTAGATCACGTCTTCTGCATTCCTGGTCACTGTTCAGTCTACACTTCCTCGGCCAGCCTTGACCTTCTTGATCTTTGAAATTGTTTTCTTTTGATAAACCAAGTGTTTGTGAGTAAGCCCCTACAACTCACTCATTAGTACTCCCTTTTGAAGAATGTTCTCTTAAAAAAAGATGATTTCAGGCTTGAGATTTACAGTTGACGCCACCTTAGAGTGTAATGTACATTAAGGAAACTACCCGACTGTGTCGTAATGAAAGAAAGCGAAACGTTGACTTTGGCCTTTAAAAAAAAAAATCGCTTTCCATGTGTTGCCCAGGAAGCAATGAGGAGATGGTGATGGATATGCTTTGCATGTGGATTTTTGTGTTTTCATTTGGGCAAATGTAACTTATGGCAAACTCAGAAAGGGGGAGGTGGTCCGTTTAAGCTGAAAGAAACTTTCGAGACAATGTATGCAGACACAACAAAATCGAATCCAACATTTTCTGACGCTTGATGTAATCGACTGGCAATTGTTATCATTAAATAAAATTCTTCCCCAAAGTGTCTTTCTCAAGAGTGAAGATCCCATGAGTCACTTTTGGAACCTATTCACCAAAGGTAGCAGGAGACAATACTATTTACACCAACATCCAGAAAGGTGGTGAGCCACTTGATGATGGTCTATGCCCATGTTTCTTTATCCTGTGGAAGAGAAAACAGTTGTCCACGCTATCGATGTTCCTCTTGGGTTCCGTGTAAAGACCCGTCCGGTAACAAATGCGTGTGGTTTCTGTGAGTGGCAGACAAATCTCTTACCATCCTTTCCTTTTGAGTTTGGTTTAATGGAGTTTTTTTGTTTTTTGCAAGTGTCAAAAGACGTCCAGTTCTTCCTGCCCTCCCCTTTCAGAAATATGAAAGTGAATATTTGGAAGAGCTGCTGTTGGAAAGATGTGTCGTGTCCCCCGTGAAAGTGAGTGGGTGTCCGTCTGTGCCCCGAATACTACATACTAGTATGCAGAGGCAGGGGCGGCCAGCTGGCCCCACGTCGCTGTGCTTTATGGCCCCGACCTGCCCCACGCTCCTGTCGCAAGCAGCACTTGCCGCTTCCCTGCCCCATACTCTGTGTCACTGTTGTGCACTCGCCACTCAGTGAATAAAGTGTGTGCTTTATTCTGTTCATAAATGCCTCCACGCCGTGTTGCCTTTCTTGCTCCCCTGCTCCCTTGAAAGGTCTGTCCCATTTGAACAAGTACCAGCCTGACTTACAACCAGAACAAAATCAGAATACCAAAGCTTTAGGAATGCATTTTTGTCACATAGGAAGGCCGTTGGGGTGGGGGGGAGGGGAATGCAACAAATAGCAATGGTGTGTTCCAGGACAGTCCAGGAATCCAGACCAGATTGGCCAAGTTGACTAAAGGAAAAATATTGAAAAGAGCTTTGGGGCTGTGCTGGTCTACCTGGTATTTGGTTTTGTGACACAGAACAGTGACAGTCTCATCATCTGGACAAGAAGGGGGATTGATGAACCTTGAGGACAAGAGCTTCTGAACTAGCGTGAGTGGTTCACCATTTACTAAGAAACTGCAGTGCATTGGTAGAAACCCATCTTTCAAAGCACCGACCTTAAGTGAAGAAAGTCTTCTAGATTTTGATTTACTTGTTTTCACTGCCACAATTTTGGGCTCACTGGAAAGTACAAGGATGTATATAGACTCGAGATGCCCTATTCTGACCAGAGCCATTCTACTGTGGGTCTGTCAGGCCGGTTGTCATAGTCAACTCAGGCTGCTATTAACAGAGTTCCATAGACTGGGTGGGTGGAACAGCATTCATTTCGTACAGTTCTGGAGGCTGGGAAGTCCAAGATCCAGGCAGATCTGGTGTCTGGTGAGAATCTGCTTAGGTCTGTAGATAGCCATCTCTGGTTGTGTCCCCACATGGCAGGGAGAGAGGAAGCAAGCTCTCATGTCCCTTCTTATAAGGGTGCCAATCCAGGACACCTGGGTGGCTCGGTCAGTTGAGTCACCGGTCAAGTTCGGCTTGGGTCATGATCTCGAAGTTCACGAGTTTGAGCCCCACCTTGGGCTCTGTGCTGACAGCTCAGAGCCTGGAGCTTGCTTCGGATTCTGTGTCTCTCTCTCTCTCTGCCCCTCCCCCACTTGTGCTTTGTCTCTCTCTCTCTCAAAAATAAAAACATTTAAAAAAATAATAAGAATGCTAATCCTATCATGAGAGCTCTGTGCTCGTGATCTAATTACCCAAGGCCCCGCCTCCTGAGGCCATGCCATCGGGGATTAGGATTTCAGTGTATAAATTCGTGGAGAGCCACGGGGGGGGGGGGGGAACAAACGTGCCACCCGTAACACCTGTGCAGGGGCCAGTCACCCTAGCATTCACGCAGACCTTCATCACCAAGCTGGAAACCGAGACTGTGCTCCAGACAGTTGGTACCTTGAGTGTACTAGTGTAGAAAACAGGTCAGGAGGTCCAGCTTGAGGTCTGTGTTCTGGTCGCTTCTGTTTGCACCTGCACAGGCATCACCTCTCTGGGCTGATTACCACAGCCAGCGTTTACCTGCAGCCCTTATCTTGAGCTCTCGGTGGCTTTTGCCACTGTGATCACCATTGCATTGAAGACTGACTCCCTGTGTCGCGTCAGCGGTTAGCCCTCACACACTGACAGCCAAGTTCACAGCCTATGCCGGGAGTCCAGGGCCTCTCGTAATGGCACTTGCCTCGCCCCGCCCACTGCTCAGCTTTTCCTCCCACGATGGCCCGCCTTCGAATCTTGCCCTCCGGCTCTCCCAAACCTCTGCATGTTCCCTGAACACACCATGCTCTCTCCTACCTCTGCAGCCTTGACAATGGCTTTCCTCCTGTACAACGTCCAATTCTTCAAGGAGGTAGAGAGCAGGAGGATCTGGCCCCAGGAACGAGAGGTAATGGCAACATTAACTATTTGAGATCAGTCGTCCATAGCTCCTTGGAGTTGCCCGTGGGCATTTCCCAGGGGCTCCGTTTGCCCTGAATCAAAGACAAGCCTGAGTTCACACCCTCTCTAAGAACCTCCTTGATGGGCCCAGCCCAACCTGCCCCAGAAAATTCTTTGCAGGCCTATGGTTGAACATCATGTGTGACGCTGTTCGAACGCTGCCTAGTACTATGAGCTTCGCATGTGTCTCCGCTCTTCAGGTCAACTGTAATGAGGCCTCTATTGAGTGCCAGGGTTTAAGTTAACCGAATTTCTCATGTCGGGCCTATAAGACAGATCACTGTGGCTCTACCCTACAGGTGAGGAGAGCAAACTCAGTCAGTGGCTAATGAAACATTCTTGATCACCAGCCAGTAAGGGGCAAAACTGGGATTCCTGAGGCCCGTCTTCAAATCCCACACTGTTTGCTTCCATCTCCATGACCTCTCGAAGGCAAGGACTGCGTCTCCCACATTCTAAATCCCCCGGGGCACATTGCACGGAGGAGGGTCTCCCTGTGAGACCAGCCAGTTCCCTCCAGTAGGCTGTGAGCCCCAGCACCGCCCGCCAAGGTGCTGTTATGAGCAACGGTTGGGAGGTGCTCACTAGCTCTGTATCTTAAAGTCAATTATTTAGACTCCCTAGGCCTCAACTTGTTCATCTGTAAAATGGACCGAATACTAGTACCCATCAGAAGATCATTGCTACATTATAACGCACGTTGAGCGCTGCACAGCACTCAGGACGTAGTAATTACTCAAAAACATCAGTGATCTTTGTTAAGAGCAGTCACCCACTTCGATTTCAAGACCCCCATACACTCTGAGCCTCAGTTTCCTCATCAATAAATTAGGAGTGAATACTTGCTCTCTGGCTACGTTCTGGGCTTGTTAGGCTCAGGCACAAGAAAGCATTGTATCGATAGGTGATATTGGCTATGGAGAGTTTCTAGGTACTACTTTAAATAGTTCAATCGTTCAAGAAGTTTAGTTTTTGTTCTGGGCTTTTTCTCCCCCAGCCTTTATATGAATACTGCAGCATGAAAGCAAGCCCGCAACTTCTTTTATACGCTTCAAAAACAGCCCTCTCTTTGTCCAATAATAGTCTAAGATTGAGATCCTCTGAAGATGTGCCAAGGCATCGTAACAACAGAAAGGATTACACGGCAGTTAAGTGCAGGCTATGGGGTCAAACTGTCTGGGTTTGAGTTCCAGCTCCACCAATAATCGGTTGTGTAACTACTGGCAATTTGCTTAACTTCTCTCAGCTTCGATTTCCACGTCTATAAAATAGGAATAATAATAGCTACCTCCAAGGGTTATTGTGAGCCTCAGGGAGAGCAGGACCTGGCATAAATGCAAGATGGAGTGCCCAAACAGAAGCTTTTATTAATAAAGTTGCTGCCGTGTAATAAAGACCTTTATGTGCCCAGTCCCAAGCTAAGTGTATTATGTGGTTTATTCCAGGCTGCTCTTTACCTTCCCCTGCCACCCTCGCTCCCCAGCTCCCCAGTTTCAAGTTCAGCGTGTAGGCAAGTGTCCTGCAGAGAAAGGCTCAGGGGCCCCCACAGGCACCGTGGCCAGCCAGGGTGGTAGGTGCTCAACATAGAAGCATCCAAAGATGTCAGCTCAGGACTCAGCTCCTCCCGAGGGGTTTCATAGCTGTTGGGCCCCAGTATTTCTTCGGTCAGGAGAATTCTCTCCAGCTACCTGAGGGATGCTTAGAAACGCCACCTGCAGAAGAGCGGAGACTCGTTTTCATGAAAGATGGCTTTGTTTCCGGAAAGATCTTTCTGTTTTACTTCAAAACAACCAAGGCAGCAAAGGCTGAGCTGCCAGTCCTTCCAGTGTTTGGGCATACTTCCTCAGTTCCAGAAAGCCACCGGTCCTCCTCGGCCCCTCCTGCCCATCACTGGAAGGGCGGTGGGGGGGGGGGGGTGTCTCCTCCCTACAGACCAGCCTTGCCTGGGTGTGCCTCCAGCCCCGCCCTGTTGGACGTGCTCATTGTTGGCCGGAAAGCCCTGGGAAGGGTGGAGACTTGATGCTGGCAGCTTTTGAGAAAGCCCAGGGTGGCCAGAGGACCGGTGCCCAAAGCTTCTGGGAATCCCAACCCCAGGCTTGAGAACCTACCTCCACACCCTAGATTTCCTTCTCCCCCATGGTAGGCCAGGACTCTGACAAAAACTCAGAGCGTTCTCCCTTTTCACTTCTACAGCCTTCAGGGGTGGGCTGTAATGAGTCAGGCCTCTGGAGGAGGGTGTAATATGTCTACGTTTATTTTACATTCTCATCTCAACTGGATAAAAATGCTCTCCGGGGCCCACCATTGTACTAAGCACAATGGCAGCCCCTGGAGAGGGTTTTCCGTATTTATTTGTGCTGTCCCCCTGTGGCTGTCTCTTACCTCAGCCCTTCCCCTCAGCTAAAAAGAAAAGTTGGCTTGGGAAAACCTCTCCTCCAAAGCAGAGGCAGTTTCTGCTTTGCCCACAGCATGTTTTAGTGGCGGGACCTCCCGGAACATCCCAAAGGGCAAAGACTTGGGTGGCTTCCAGACACAGACCTGGGGAATCTAGCTCAAGTGCACGTGAGTCCAGAAGATAAGGAAAGGACGGATGGTGGCAGCAGCAGACATTTGGTGAAGGCCTCTAGAACTCCTGAGTACTTTGTGTAGAGTATTTCACTTAATCTGCGGAGGTAAACCCGAGACTCTGGCAGATGGGTAGGCTTCTCACCCCTCCCATCAAGTCCAAAAGCTACCTTCCTCTGAAGGCTGCCTTCCTTCTCTGGGGTCTCCACGTTGGCACACGCGATTCTCTGACGATTTGTCAAAAGGACCATCTTTGCAAAGACAGACACCAGCCTCTCTCAGCGAAGTGGAGCCTGGCCATGAACAACATTTTGTTCTACACTGGACAGATGTTGGCACAGAAAAGAGTATACGTCCTTCCATTCCTGCTATTGTCTCGGAACATACTTTTCTTAATGAAAGCGAGAAAATTTTCGTGGCAGTGACTTCCCATCAGATAGGAGCAAAAATCAGCAGGATTCTCCTGGGGATTTTTTTTGTTGTTGTTTTCATTTTTGTTTCAATAGAACAATTACTTCTTCCCACAAAAACAAGGTGTTTCAGGCAACTCAGAGTAAAACGCTGGTATGTCTTAATCATAATCAAATGCCTTCCACCAGATGCACACTTTTACATGCATT